AAAGAGATGATGTTGAAGAATGAATGCCCTCTGTGGCTCTAATCCCATAAAAATCTCACAGCCCCTGCTCAAGATGAAGCAACCTAGACAGAGAAATATGATGCACTACCTTGTTCCCAAAGCATCTGTTAGTAGGATGTTTATCTGACTCAATTTTACTTAGAATTTGATCTTAAGGAAGGTATGCAGTCACCTTCCAGAACAGCATCTTACTCCTTGAGTTCATGGAACAGCCACAACACAGAAGGAGTCTTTGCTGCTTTCTGTGTGGAGCGAAGAAGTAATTTTCATACTTTAAAAGAGGAAGCACAGTGCCAAGGTTCAATATTTCAAACCCTGTGACTTATCCCCAGCACTAAAGACAATGACAGAAGAGGCAGAGGCAGTTAAGGATGTGAGACTGAGTAGCATGAGGTAGCATCACCTTACTGCTAGACTGGGACCGTGCGCTGCTAGAAGCTCCCTGGACTTGCCTGTGTCAGGCCCCTTGCAGCACTGGGTGAAGTTGCCATCAGTTGGATTGTGCCTGGCCCCTCAGGAAGACAGAAGGACCTCGGGTTTTCTGCAAAAGGCTCGAAGCTCTCTCGTGCAAGTATCTTAGAAAATACATGTCTTTTTGGGATGTGCATTTAGGAAACAACATCTGCTGATATACAGAAGCACGCAGAGGTAATGTCATGTTTCTATATGCATGTTTCTCTATTAGCCAGTGAGCTGTTTTAAGTTCCACGCAAATAGAGAGATACGAACCAACAACAGAAGGGTATTTGTGATCTTGGTTAGAAGCAAAGCTACAGCATTGAAGGCTCTCTAGAGGGCCTATGCTGGCTGCATGCTGGGCATCAGGTCTTTCTTGGCCTTAAAGGCTAAATGGGAGTAAAAGGGAATAGGAGTATCCCATAATCTATCCCAAATCTAGGCTGATTTGAATAAAGGCCCAGAGAAGGAAATTTCTTTGGCCATTCACTATGGCACAAATCTCATTTCAGGCAACTCAAGTCATGCCTATTGTAACTTAACTTTCTTTCAGTGAAAGTAATCAACTGTTTTGACAATTTAGTTTCAAATTCATCACAATAATCTTAGTGGTAGACTTAGAATGAAAATGATGTTTTATCTAGTCTGCATGCAGGAGAGAATGTGAGAAATAACAGTCATGGTTGGAAAGGAGACAGAACAAGCCCTCTGTGTGAAACAAAGACATGCCACTGTGTGTAGCAATTCTCAAGTTGTGACAGAAGTTGACTCTGACTTGTTGGTTCAAACCAGCTAGTCCAATTAGCAGCTATTTCCCCTTGCCCTCTTTGGTTTGGCCTACATAGATTTGATCTGATGGCTGGGGGATAAATGGGGCTAAGTAGCTCTTTTGAAGATATACTACAGGTCTATTTTTGACGCAGCGCCCAAGTCCAGGGAGGACTATCCATAGGAAATCCTATGTAGGACAGGATGAAGCAGGAGTTCTGTCAGGGTGGGACTCCCTAGGCTTTTACTGAATTTGCAGCTACTTTGATTTCAGTGGCCTTTTTATGGAATGAACTTGTCTCTCAGAGTGGCAGTTGATGTGCTGGCCGGGAGGAAAACGGGGCAAATATAATCAAGTATCGTTATTTCTGTATGGTTTAAAAACTGGTACACCAACTTTGACTGAGAATCTTAGGTCTGAACTTCATAGATAAGGTACAGAGAGAATTAACACTTATGTTTTGCCAAGAATAGGTTGCCTAAATAAGCTTGGTACAAGCTTTCCCTCTTCTGTTGAAATCCACTACTTCAAATTAATTTTTTTTTTCTTTGCATCCATTACTAAAAATGTAACAGCCTTCAAAGGCACTGTTACATCTGCTTCTCCAAAATCCACTTTAAGGTAAAGCCACATAAGCTTCCGTTCTCAAGGCAATAAAAGATTTTTCATGAAAGTGAAGCCAAACCTCTACTAGACTGCATTAAAAAGCATATGTAGGCTTCTTGGTCTACTAATTAGCTACCACCATGCATACGAGCTGTATTCTGCTGCCTTTCACTGTAACATTCAATAGCAAGATCACTGTATTCCAATGTGAATTACCACAAACAAGCCAAACTATACACACTCATTTGAATCAACTCATTTTTGCTTTTGTTAGGCACCATATACTTAAATCTCATTAAAATGTTAATAATCACTACCTTATGTACCATCATAAAACAACTGCTATAAAATTTAGTTAAATAATTATTTTGAAGTATCAAGTGATTGCATATTATCTTTCTAAACAGTCAATATTCTGTAGTCCTAAAGTACTACTTCAATATGTAATATTTGTGTTTAAGTTCCATTCATTTTACAGAGTTTACTGCTGCTAAATTTAGGGTTCGGTCCTGTCAGTCATCTCTCAAACATCTTTCTTGTTGGGGTACAAGCTGGACACAAATTTACTGCTGTAGAGATATACTATGAATAATTATGGCTGTCCACATACATAGGTTCTTAATAAATACATTATTTGCTAACCGTTCTCTTGAAGTACTAAACTGGTTTTCTATACTAGTACATCCATTGCAGAAATTTTTTTTCAGTTGGATTATTAATACCACATTCTTATTAAGAGGGCTGTCAGCATATTAGCATCATTTGTATTTTAGCAGTTAATAATCCAAGCTAAAGCTTGGGTCATAAAAATAGCCCTATTTAGAATCAGCACTTTTCCCCTGGTGTACACGGAGGCAAACAATACACAGAAGGAACATAGCTCACTCAATAAACACTAGAGAAGAACTCAAAGCAAATGCTATCCTGAAAGAACAGAGGTCAGACAAAACTCTGTGGTGGGGCTGAGGGGGACATGTTATTTGAGGTTTAGTAAGCAATTAGGGATTATGGTTAATAGCTGCAAGCTTTTTTGAAAAGTCCTAAGTTGTGTTCATAAAAACTGTAAACTAAGTACATAAAACTTTGTTAAAGTGGAAAGATCTAATCTTCCCTGTGCATGTAATACAGCTGTCCTACATTATGTTTTTGTGGATGTTTTCAATATAGAAAGAACAGTTTTCAAAACCTTTTTTTATTGTTCTGAATGGCACCATTTTAAATCTAGCTTTCTAAAAGCTGGTGCATAAGTCTATAATACATACTCTGTTGTTTCTTAAACTTTTATGGAGAGAAAATTGTCTTAGTTTATTCTTTTCTGGTGAATGAATAAATTAATAATGCAGATATTATGGAAAAGTAATTTAGTGTGAAATAAAGCTGTAGAATTGTTTAAGCAGGAGAAGAGACCATGGAGGTTTATACAATACAATATTAATCCAAAGCATTATTTTTTTTTAAATAAAAAAGTAGTGGACAATTATGGTGGCACAGATTTGATTTTACTGTTAAGACTTTTTCACAGACTCGGTTTAAAATGCAGCAAGGCCAGTCTACGTGTCTGAAGTATCTATTCAAGTCCTAGAAACATAACTGTTTTCTCCATCTTTGTTTTTTTGAGCTATCAAACTACATTTCTCAAATTAACAACAGTGAAATATGGAGCTGCACTTTTCTACCATTTTGCAGGGGCAAGAATCAAAGGATGGAACATATATCCACACAGTAGGGTGTCCGTATTTTTATCAAGTTTGGATTTACTTGCAAAGTAATTCATTCAGTTTTCAGAAGCAATGACTGCTCAAAGAGCGCTGCTCAAAAACCAAGTCCTCCCTTAAAAAAACCCACCCACTGTCATTGAATTATCATCCTTTTACAGCAAGTGGTTGGTGTGTTCAAGCTTTCCTTTACAATTTGCTTTGGCCAGAGAGTTAAGGAGGCAGGTTTTGTTATCTAATACCCAGGCATTAAAAATGTATTAATGCAACTATTTTTAGATACTATATATACCTTAAAACAAATGCGTCCTCTTATCAGTCCATAAGGAACAGGTCCATAGCACCTGGAATCTGTAGAATTCCTGAGATTATCACCTTCTAACCAAACATGTCCTTTAGGCACCTATGATTAAGTGAGATTGAAATGTAAAAAGAAAACAGAATAGAACGGTATTAAGCATAGTCTGCCTTGCAATATATTGCCTGATTTCTGTGTTCTGTATTTCATGGCTGTATAATGAATTAATTTTTTATTGAATCTAGTAAGACACAGTGCCAGATTTGGAGGGATGAGGAGGAGTGCTCCAAAGTATCTGTTCTATCATGTGCTCAAAAAAACAATGGTTTGCAACAAAAAATCCAAAATGAAGATGTAAGAGGTTAGACCAATGTGACAGGGTCATTAATTTAATAGACTTCAAAAGAGGTCATTAGGATGTTGACTGAAAATCTGCCCTCCTGTCGCAGTAACAGCATGAACAGGGCAGCCACACACTCATCAACATCCTGGGGCCAGCACCAAGGCTAGACCTGTTAGTAGATTCATGATGAACTAACTGGTAATTGATTGTGACATCAATTACGAATAATCTCATCATTTTATCGGAGTAGGCTTGTCAAAGTTCTAATTAAGATCACAGTTCATTCTATGTGCAGGCAGAATCCACAACACATTATATTGCAATAATGATGATCACAAAACAGCAAATCCTTTTTTATAATTTGAAAATTAATGATGGTGACCTTATACTATATGACAAAGACCTTTCGTTGCCTATAGATATTATGCATTAACTATATTACATACCATAGATTCATGGCATTCACTGACTCAGTGACAAAATGAGAAATAGCAACATAGCTGTATTAGTTACTTCAATAAAAGTATAAAGCTTTCATGCATTAAAAAGTCACTACTATACATCTTAGTTTAATATTTCCACTTGGAATATACAACACTATTTTTTTTTAAAAAAACCTCTTACAAGTTACCAAATAAAATAATTATTTTTGTAATCCTTTTATGTTTCTAGAATTCTAAACCAGGCTGAGTATTTAAAAGCAGCAACATATTCTTAATCTAGATAATATTTAATGTGGACTTTTTAAGTTAACATACATTTTCCCAAAACCAAATTTGCACTTGAAACATTACTTTGCCCACAATTCTGAGAAAAAAATATAGAAACAAAATGTAAAAAAAAAAATAAAAAATTAAAATTAAAAATCACATGCCACTCAAGTTTGAGCAGTATAAATGTTAATGTTTTGGAAATAAGCTACATGGAGTCATAAATACCATAGTCTACATATACAGAGTTCAAGGATAACAGACTGAAAATGAAATACCACTCTAGTAGTAAAGTCTGGATGTGAAACATTAATAATAAAAACAGTTCCGCAGACAAACATTTGAGAAAAATACAACTGAAGTGTAATTGTTGGTACTGAGAGGTATCTGGCCAGGTAGCACTCACTGGGAACCTCATCTTTAAATAAGCCTTTTAGGCTTTTCCTTAGTCGTGCTTCTGCCTGCCTGTTTCCAGACTGGGATCTGAGGATAGCCCGCTAGCTGAGAGGCCCTTTGTTGAGCTGTGGCAAATGTATAAGCTACAGATTAAGAACCAATAGTTTGTCTCGGACAGCGGCAAAAAGAGATAGTAATCATAGAAAGCGTAGCTCAGCCTGTCCATCTTCTCCCAACCACCACCCCCTGTATTTCTCTGGTATCCAGGATAGGTGCTTTTGCATGCCAGAGGGCACAGCCCTGCCTCATCATTTCAGAATCTACATAGAATCACAGAATGGTTTGGGTTGGAAGGGACCTTTGAAGGCCATCTTGTCCAACCCTCCTGCAATGAACAGGGCCATCTTCAACTAGACCCAGGTGCTCAGAGCCCTGTCTAACCTGACCTTGAATGTTTCCAGGGATGGGCATCCACCACCTCTTTGGGCAACCCGTTCCAGTGTTCCACTACCCTCATCATAAAAAATTTCTTCCTTTTATCTAGTCTGAATCTACACTCTTTTAATTTAAAACCATTATTCCTTGTCCTATCTTAACAGGCCTTACTAAAAAGTTTGTCCCCATCTTTCTTATAAGCCCCTTTTAAATATTGAAAGGCTGCAATAAGGTCTCCCTGGAGCCTTTTCTTCTCCAGGCTGAACAACCCCAACTCTCTCAGTCTGTGTTCCTAGGAGAGGTGCTCCAGCCCTCTGATCATCTTCGTAGCCCTCCTCTGGACTTGCTCCAACAAACAGCTCCATGTCTTTCCTGTGCTGAGGACTCCAGAGCTGGATGCAGTACTCCAGGTGGGGTCTCACAAGAGCGGAGTAGAGGGGCAGAATCCCCTCCCTCGACCTGATGGCCATGCTTAATTTTGATGCAGCCCAGGATATGGTTGGCTTTCTGGGCTGCAAGTGCACATTGCCGGATCACGTCCGGTTTTTCATCCACCAGCACCCACTTCTCAAGCTTGACCAGGTCCCTCTGGATGGCATCCCATCCCTCAGAAATTTCAACCGTACCACTTACTTAGCTTGGTGTCATCTGCAAACTTCCTGAGGGTGCACTTGATCCCATCGTCTATGTCACTGATACGTATGTGGAGCTGTAGACCAACAGTATGTCTAAACCCTTTTGAAGCCTACTGATACTATCTATCTCATCTCCTTCCATAGCCCCTGTGTAAAGGAGTGCCAGCTTGTTTGTTTTAAAGTCATCTCCTCCTAGTTTTCAAGATCCTTTACTTGTTGTCCCACTCCTTCAGTACAGCAATTCTGCCTGTCCCCTTTGCTATTTTGTAGGCTTATCAGATTGCTGGCGTGTGCATGGAAGTGCTTTCTCTGAGACAGCCACTTTGTTTCAGCTAGATGTCTTTGGCCCTCCTCCTGCCCAAGCAGCTTTGCAAACAAATTAACCAACCAGAAGCCAATTTAAAATAAATTAAATAACATTTCTATCCAGAGTCAAATGACCTGTGTAGAATATACACCTCAGCACATGTGGACAGATGCTTCTGAGAGGTCTCTATTTGAGAATGTACCAACATTCCTATTTCCCTCAAAAATTCTGCAATATCCAGCCTATTTAGAGTGTCCAGCAGCAATTGTTAAGTTAGTTAGATATTCATCGTCACTTATTCACAGTGTACACACCTAAAGCATTCACTGTGTACACACCTTACACGAGTTTGTTTTTCAGGTCCATGTTACAACGCAGAGCAGCATTGACCTTTCTGGTGCAAACTCTCCTGTCCAGCATCTACCAGAACTACAAATCGTACATCAAACTACTGTCATTTTGAACTACTATCTCAGCAAATATACAAAAAGGAGAAGCATGAATTACTGTGAAAGGAAGTTTTGGGGTTTTTAAAAATGAAATAGAAAAGCAAACCTACATTAACTTTTCACATTTCTGAAAAAGTGTCACTTCTTGCAATGCACTACTGTTTCACACACAGGACACACCAGCTCCACTTCTACTTTACTGGTTCCCATGCTTTCTCGCTTTCCCCAGTTCGTAGGCAGAACATGACGCTCATCTGTTACTACATGAAATAAGGACCCCTCACAACACAAATATATCTAAACACTTCTAGACCTTCCCATCTTTCTTCCAGGCTCCAAAAGTGTAATAAATAAAGTGCTTTTGCCACCTGTGGCAAATCACTTACTACTTGTAATACTATTAATAATTAGTTGTCTAAACAAGATGTTCATAATTTGCATTCCAGATAGAACATTTGCAATAAAATATGTTCCTATATCCTGAAATTCACCACTTAACGGTAACTTTTGTAGTTCTCCATGGAAGGTATGACAGGACCCTATAACTCTAAAATTGTCATTAAGAGTACTGTCACAACGTATGATTCATCCAGAGATAATACAGTATAATACCTTTGTATGGTGTCTGTCCATCATCTAGGCACTTCACTACAATCTAGAATTAAGACAAGCTAGAAAAATCGCATGAAAATGTAAAACTAAATTTTTTTTTACATGAAAATGTAAAACTAAATACCACTGACAGGCCATAACCATTAATTAAAAAAAAAATACATACACCCCTTTGAAATAAAGGCTAAAGCCAGAAACCTTCAAGGGTTTCTGCACCAAGCTATTTCTAGGCCACATCATTGATTTCAGTGGGATTACTCACATTGATTAAAGTTAACTTTCAGTATCAACCTTTGCAGAATCAGGACCCAATCTGAAATGCCTCAAAGCTATTCAAGCTAAGTAGCTGGGAATAAGATACATCTTTAATCAAGGAAAAAAGAAAAAAAAAAAACCTGTTCAAAACTTGTATTTGTAGTAAGAATATATTAATTACACGCCAATAGGCTGCTACTGCCAAAAAACCCAAGGCAATGGGAAAGCCACTTGCTTGACAATTCACAACGTTGCATTTTGGTATCTACAGGCCATGGACCATGCACCTCTTAGACAAAATTAACTGTATCTAAGAAGTCCAGCGGAAATCACAGTTACCATTGCTACACACTGCAAGGTTGTGAATACAAAAAATACTGACAAGAGTGCCAAAAGCATTTAACTTCCACTGGGCAGCATTTCAGTTCTCCCTTACTCATAGGCCAGAACTAAGATGTGGAAGTCTCACAAGCCCAACCACCGAATTTTCACATAACTACCTTGCAGGTCCCACACAAAACCCGCAATTCCACAGCAGTGCAGGTTCACACGAAAACACATAGCCTCTGATTGTCTGCAGGCTACTCTGCCTCCCCAACCCTTGTGCCTCTGGTTTTGTATAGATTGAGGATTTATTTCCAAGGAACAGCAGTCCTCAAGCAGAACTGGTTATCTGCGGCGCAGCTTATATGCATGAGAATACAGGACAGTGATCAGACATATGACTCTTCCCCTTCCCCGGCTCTGGGGGCTCTAGTACAGGAGCAGAGAGACCAGAAGAGCAAGATTAGCATTCAGAACAACCGAGCTTGTAGCAGTAGCTTATTCTGTTTCAGCTCAGATAAAGAAGCATCTTTCACGGCAACAAACTGGCTAAATTTGCAGGGCTGTTGGGGTATAGTTAAAGGGGCAAAACTGAACTACTGGTCAGGTATTTGATGCATACTTACTAGCAGAAAACAT